CTATTTGTGCTTTGTGGATGATAACCTCACCACCATATCCAGATTTTGATGTGCATTCAATACCTGAAGAACTTATCCTGGAGTGTAATGAAGACTCGGTCATGTTCTACTGTGTTTTGGGTTTTATGGGTTATCTTGCTCTGATTAGTTTCTCTGCTGCTTTTCTAGCTAGGAATTTACCTGACAGTTTCAATGAAGCCAAATTCATCACCTTCAGCATGTTGGTCTTCTGCAGTGTTTGGCTGTGTTTTATTCCAACCTATCTAAGCACAAAGGGAAAATATACATTGGCTGTGGAGATCTTCTCCATGATCTCCTCTAGTGCTGGCTTATTAGTGTGTATCTTTCTTCCCAAGTGTTTTATCATTGTGATGAGACCTGAACTGAACAATAAACATCAGCTCATGAAAAGAAAGTTTTAACAAATCTCTCTGTTTGCCTGACATCATATATAATGTATTTTGGGGAACTTATTCACTTGTTCATTGAAGCCACAAAGCATTGTGCAGTTAGACTGGCCTTCTAGGATGCCCTGTCCCCTAGGGCTCTTTTTCTTTCTGGAAGTCAATTATAATTGGGGACCATCATAAATGTATAAATAAATAAATAGGACAAATTGATTTGTTGAGATATTTCAATTATGTGATAGACAATTCTGACTAAATATATAGATTAAATGTGAATTAAATAATAATCTTTATTGGTCATCTTAGTTCATATCCAGACTAGAATGTGTAAAAAGAAGTGGGTATTAAACAACAATGAGCCTTTCATTTAAATAGGGAAGACCTATGAATCGGGTTTTTAAAAAATATATTTTTTTTTTTACAATAACAATCTCCAGTGCCTGTTGCACAGTGTGTTGTCTTGGTTTATATATTTGAAAAAAAAAACAATGATAATTAAAAAACAGTCAATAATAATTGATTTTGATAATTCCATAATTACTATATTCTTTGTTCTTCCCTTTTTCCAATTATATTCTCCTTCTTCAACCTTAAAAAGATACAATACTTAATATTTTCAATGTATAAATGATTAAATATAAACATTTTTTTCATTTTTGTTCAGATAATCATAACTTATCATCAGCTTATATTATTCTTATAGAAATCATCTCATTAGTTCACCATGCATCCTATTTTCGTAGTTATTGTTTAAGCTTAATTTCCCCTTTATATTCAATCCATTCTTGTCAATCATGATTTTCTCAATGTTAGTCATCTAAATATCCATTTTTTTCCATTTAAGTACACCGTCCCAATGTTTTCATATTTCATATGTTATAAAAGTACTATATTTCTTATCTATCATAGCATCTGCATATGACATCCTTTCTGATCAGCTTATATTTCATTTATATTTATAAAAAATACATCTTCCCAATATTTTTACATTTCATATATTTTAAAACATACTATACTACTTAAATCTCTTATCCCTCTTGTTATACAGCCCCTTTATGTTTAAAGGTCTCTATTCTTTAAACATATTCAAACAAGTATTACTCATGTAATACTCCATCTGGTAGGGTGAGTCGAATCTCTTGAATCTGTCTCTAGCCTTCTTCTTTTGCTGAGTAGATTTTCAAGTTGATATATTCTGCTTACCTTGCAGCTTCTGTGTTTTTGTAAGTTTTGTTGGAAGTAAAAAAGATAAATAAGTAAAATATATACTTTCTGTCTCCCAAACTCTGATGATTCACCTGGGAATTCTATAGTCCATTCCATTTTTGTGGTATGGCAAAGTCTTGTAATTTTTTTTCTATTTGTATTAAATTGTTTGTAGCTTTGTTGATTTGATCATTTTCAATTTCTGATTCATCAATTTCTGAATTATTTACTGTTAATGTTCTGTGTTCTGATTCTCCACTAGGTGTCAGTAGTTGTTTATTTTCCAGTTTTTTTCAGACAGAAAGTTATTATTGTTATATATTTTTTATAATTTCATCAAAACCCTTTAGGGTATGGTCTTAACAGATTTTTTTTTAGTTTCTAGATGTATCCAAACTATGGTATTTTAAATTTAATATCCATATATTTCTTTCTCCCATAGTATTAATTTGCCATTTCTGTCTATGAGGGAGTGGAGGTATAGTTCCCTCCTTTCACTTTTGGAGGTTTTCTTGCTTTGGGGTACTTTCCGAAGGATTCAGCTAAAGGGTAGAAAAGAAAAGATCGATACTCTCACCAATTCCAAACATGCTGTTCACCAATGTTCTGGTTCATGCTCTTCGACTTTGGCTGCAAGTAGCTTGGGCTAAACGCTTATGTACAGCTAGCCTTTCTCCTGTCGGTTCAGAGGGCTTCCCTCAGATCAAACAGAATGACTGCCATCGTTTCGTAATCAACAGGGAACCCCTTCCTTCACGGTCACCTCTTCAGGGCAACTTCAGACTCATTTAAGGTCTCCCTGGCAGGGCGAAACTGGCTGTGGGGAGCAGAGCTTTACTTTATAAATTATTAAACATTGGGGTTGGATATTAAACATTTCTCATGTTTTCAGAAATAGCGCTTCCAATTTCAGCATAGTTACCTTAAAAGTAATCCTACATATATACCTGTAGAGGTATTTATGTACTAGTATTATGCTTTGCATCTTCCAGGTTCTGAATTAAACAGTAAAGATATAACACTAAAACTCATTCCATAAAGTGTATCGTACTGAAGGGTTGGAGGTACCATAAGATGAAGCAGACATTTCAACATCTCCAACGTCCTCAGATTTTGATATGCAGTCAGTGTCTGAAGAACTTATCCTGGAGTGTAATGAAGACTCAGTCATGTTCTACTGTGTTTGGGGTTTTATGAGTTTTCTTGCTCTGGTCAGCTTCTCTGCTGCTTTTCTAGCTAGGAAGTTACCTGACAGTTTCAATGAAGCCAAATTCATCACCTTCAGCATGTTGGTCTTCTGCAGTGTTTGGCTGTGGTTTATTCCAACCTATCTAAGCAAAAGAGGAAAATATGTGCTGGCAGTGGAGAGCTTCTCCATGATCTCCTACAGTGCTGGATTATTGGCCTGCATCTTTCTTCCCAAGTATTTTATCATTGTGATGAGACCTGAACTGAACAATAAATATCAGGTTATGAAGAGAAAGTTTTAACAACTCTTTTCATTTGCCTGATATCCTTTATATGTAGATTTTGTAGATCTGTTCCACTTGAACATTTAAGATAGAGAACAATGTGCAGTTAGATTTGATTTGCTATGTTGCAATACTTACCCTTTACCTGATATTTGGATAGCTTTTTCCTTCTGGAAGTTAATTGTAAATAGGGATCATGTAAACAAACAAACAAACAAACAAACAAATAAATAACAGTTCAAATTGATTTATTGACATATTTCAGTATGTGATGTTGAGCTCTGACTAAATATATAGGTTAAATGTGAATCATAAATTTGTCTGTACTGGTCATCTTAATTCATATGCACCCTATAATGTGTAAAAAGAAATAGGGTTAAATACAAATAAGGCTTTTGTTTAAACATGGAAAGCCTATGAATTGTTTCTGAAGCAATCAGACAGAGGAAATTCTCTTAAGCCTATTATGTTTATTGGTCACCTACTAAATAGTATAGGATTTCGTTCTTGAGCAGGGCATTGGAATAGAAAAATTCCAAGGTTGCTTTGTTTTTCTATTAAAACATGGGGTACATTTAAAAGATCTTCCAGCTGGCACTCTGTTTTCTCCAATGATATCTCTGACACAAAAATAAATCTAGTAAATTCAAATAAATTCCAGCAGAGGGGCAACTGCTTCAACTTTCTGCCAAGTACATTATACCTCCTGAAGTTGCTGAGTGCTGTTTTCATAAATCTGAAGGGTACTGAATTGAAAGATTGTGGCAAAAACTACCTCCTTCCTTCATTGACCACTGACACCTGCAACTAAAAGCAGTTTTCAAGTTACAATTCCTTAGTGACAGTTCAAAGTTACAATGGACATCTCCATCGCTATGTAACTCCTGTAATGACATCATCACATTTTGAATGCTGAGCAATGAGCCCACATTTATGAGTGCTTGCAACGTCTCAAAGTCATGCAAACATCCGTTATGATTTTTTTGCTGGGCTTATGACCATGATTCTGCACTCAATTAAAGTTGCAAGGTGAGTAGCAAGGAGTAAAACAGTTGTAAGTTGAGTTATACTTACCATGTTATATGAAGAGAGCAAGGGTTTGAGTCCCTACCAAATCTCATTTTTTTCCTCTGTTCGGTGGCTAGTAAACCAATCTTTACTCTGCTGTATGCTTACCACATTGTCATTCCTCTCTTTTTCAATGAAGTCTTCATAAATTAGCATCCTACTGCATCATATGCAATCTTAAACAGTAGAATTCAACCACATGACAACTAAGTATTGCAATAAACACTTAAATTTCTGGAAGAATACATGAACATAATAGCAATGGAATTGAGAGTAGGGAATGGAGAGCAGTGTAGTTTAGTGTAGTGGAAGAAAGGAATGGCATGGCATGGCATGGCATGACATGGTATGGCATAGCATAGCATAGCATAGCATAGCATAGCATAGCATAGCATAGCATAGAACAGAACAGAACAGAATAGAATAGAATACATCTATAGTAATGCTTTTATCCATACATATATTTACATCTCTATTTTGATTTATCGATATAATGATTTTATTTTTGTCTTGCAGCTCATGCACTCCTGCCTCTGGAGGCCCTCACATGTTTTGAAGATGTTCACATATGTGACTGTCTTATTATCATGAAGAAATTAACCAGGTTGTCTCTTCCAAATCCTATGGGACTCCATTAAAACAGGAGGAACTGACACTGAATTATGGTATTTATTGTCCCTATGATATTCCAGCTTATGACTGGGAGCCCCAAAACTCTGTGAGTTGATTTGATAGTATGTTGCATTCACAATTTGTGTCTGAAAAAAATCTTGGTAAGTCTGATCCACTTCAAATAACTTGTGGCAGAGAGAGGCATTTGCACCAAGAAAGAAGACACTCATGGAAGATGTTAGTATTCATGGAGTTACTGTTAATAGTATTGCCTGAAGTGGTATGCAAGGATCCTGGCCTTCAATGTGACTTTCATCAGCCTCTTCCTATTCGGCACACCTATCATCAGCTTGGAGACATTAATATTGCTGGTATTATTTCCGCCTTCTTTGCATCTTCTAGTCCCATTAATTTTATTCAAGATCCTTTTCAGGGATTTCATCATGTAGTTTTGTAAGTATACCATTAATTCATTGTCAAGCTCTGAACCTTGCTGGTATATTACCTGATGCTTGAAATATTTCCTCAAATGGCAAAAATTCCAGAAAGAAACATCTAAAAAAAAGATTCCTAAGTTTATTTTATGTGAAGTTATATTTTACTTTAGTCTCCAGATAATATTGAAATGGAGATCAAATCTCCATTTATAAGAAATCACATCTATTGTAAATATCTATTAATATACAGGAGTGTGGCTTAATTTATGAAGCTGTTACTATCATTAAGAAAGGGGAAGCACATATTTTCATGATCAGTTTTCTCATTTGATATTTCTGTGCTAAAATGTAGCAATTTCCTTCTGCATATAAGTCATTCTTAAAAGCTGTTGTTTGATAGTGGGCCATTCTCACATATAAGAACAAAGAAATAAGAATTATTTCACACATTCCACAAAATGTGTTGTACTGAAGGATTACAAGTGCCATAATGTGAAGCAGGCCTTTCTTAATGATTTTTTAAAAATTGTTTTACAGAATAGTTTTTCAGAATTACCAGCATATTCTGGCTTTAGCCTTTACTATAAAAGAGATCAATGAAAATCCTCATATCCTACCCAACATCACGCTGGGCTTCCACATTTTTAACAGCAATTTTAGTCCAACCTGGGCTTACTTCACCTCAATGGTTCTGCCTTTCACTCAGGGAAAATTCATCCCTAACTACAAGTGTGGGGTCCCAAATATCTTGGCTGCAGTCATTGGGGCACCTGACATCTCTCTTCACATAGCAACTGTGCTCTGCATCTACAAAATTCCTCAGGTAAGATGTGCTGAAGACATACACTACCATTCTGCCATACCCTCACACGTATCTATATGCTTCTCTCTTGTGAAATGGAGAGACCTTTCAGATAACTGCTTAATAAGAGCAGAATAGGAGGTGGGGCGAACTAGCTTGAATGAGCACTGAATTTTTGCCTCATCCAGACTGTCGCAGAGAATTGATTAAGAAATATAACACCCAAATAAGGACTATGAAAATTTAAGAGATTATGAAACGTGAGTTACTTCCCTTGCTTTCCTCCTCAAGTTTGGATTATATTTGATTCAGTTTTGGACATTCTCCCAGAGAAGCTTTGAATTTGGATGTTTGACTAAGAGAGTTGAGAGGCTTTTGAAGGCTGATGGGGAGAGGAGGGGCCCTATGATTGAAGACTGATAGGAGAAAGAATTTGGAGAGAGTTTAAAGGAGTATAGCTGAAAAGATAATAGCTGATTTATAAGTGTACAGTGTGAAGGCTGGTTACTCCCTCCTTCCAGTGTTGAGATCTGGAGAAAGTGAAAATATTAAACACCTTTAAGACAGATCTTTGATAAGGCGTGTGTAATAAAGATAGTTGCTGCCTTTGGATTTTTTTATTTCCATCATGTTGCTTTCATGGAGATAAATTGATAAGGACAAGACAAAGGGAGGAACGTATGTGTATGGACTATAGACTATGTAAAAATTCTTAAAAGGTTAAGAGCTGTTTTTGGTGGTTGGATGTCAAAGCACAGCCATAGTGCAGAAAGTGTTTGGCAAAGACCCAAAGTAGGCCTTAGAGTAGACCTTCAGATTTATGTCTGATTTGAGTGGAAAAAGCCTTAAACATGGATGTGAGGAAAAAATCACCTGAGACGTCAGTGACTCAACCAGATAAACTTGATATTCTCTTACAAGAGTTAAGAGAAATGAAGATAAATATAAAAGAAATAAAGAATGGGAATCCTCCAGGGGAAAACAACTCAAGAAGCTTGGGAAATTTTGAAAAGTGAGATAATAAAGGCTCAGTCTAGCACAATACCAACAAAGAGGAAAAATAACAGCTCTCAGAAGAAACCAGCATGACTGCATAAAGGACTCTCTGTGAAATTGAAAGATAAAAGGGACAAGTACAGAAAGTGGAAAGAGGGACACATAACTAAGTCAGAGTATCAGCAAATAGCCCTAGCCTGCAAAGACGAAGTGAGGAAACTAAGGCTCAAAATGAACTAAGGCTTGCAACCAAAGTCAAAAATAACAAAAAAGCTTCTTTCAACATAAAGAACAAGAAAAAATTGAAGGAAACGATTGGTCCATTGGTGGGTGAAAGTGGCAAGAAGGTGGCTAGCAACAGGGAGAAAGTAGAACTATTTAACTCATTTTTCGCATCTGTCTTTATACAAAGGGAAAAAACCGACCAACCTATCAAAAATAGTGCCATAAAAAACAAAATAGAAATACAAGTTAAGATAGGCAAGAAAATGGTAAGTGAACACCTGTCCAGCCTAGACGAGTTCAAATCATCAGGACCAGATGGATTACACCCCAAGGTTCTCAAGGAACTGGCAGATGTGATCTCAGAACCACTGAACTATATTTTTCAAATATCCTGGAGCACTGGGGAACTACCAGAGGACTGGAAAAGAGCTGATGTAGTTCCCATCTTCAAAAAAGGAAAAAAAGGACCCAGGAAATTACAGACCTATCAGCCTGACCTCAATACCTGGGAAGATTCTGGAAAAGATAATCAAACAATGAATCAGTGAACACCTACAGGCAAACAAAGTCATTGCTAAAAGCCAACATGGGTTTTTCAAAAACAGATCATGCCAGACAAATCTTATTGCCTTCTTTGACCAAGTGACAAAATTAGTGGACCAGAGGAATGCTGTGGATATAATTTACTTAGACTTCAGTAAGGCATTTGACAAAGTAGATCACAACCTACTACTTGATAACATAGAAAAATGTGGGTTAGACAGCATCACCACCAGATGGATCCATAGCTGGCTGACCAGCAATACTCAGCGTGTGGTCCTCATGGAGGGAAGTGTGTAGTGGGGTGCCCCAGGGCTCTGTTCTAGGCCCAGTGCTTTTCAACGAGGGGATCGATGGGGAACTCATCAAATTTGCAGACGACACCAAGCTGGCAGGAATAGCCAACACTCCAGAAGACAGGCTTAGGATACAGGAGGACCTGGACACACTTGAACACTGGGTGCTATCTAACAAAATGAAATTCAATGGTGGAAAAAGTAAGGTTCTACATTTAGGCAAGAAAAACCAAATGTACAGGTGTAGAATAGGGGGTAACTTGCACAACAGTAGTAACTGTGAGAGGGATCTCGGAGTCCTAGTGGCAATCATTTAAATATGAGCCAGCAGTGTGCTGCAGCTGCCAAAAAAGCCAACTCAGTGCTAGGCTACATTAACAGAGGGATAGAATCAAGATCACGTGAAGTATTAATACCACTTTACAATGCCTTGGTAAGGCCACACTTGGAATACTGCATCCAGTTTTGGTCACCATGATGTAAAAAATATGTTGAGACTCTAGAAAGAGTACAGAGAAGAGCAACAAAGATGATTAGGGGACTGGAGGCTAAAACATATAAGGAACGGTTGCTGGAATTGGGTATGTCTAGTTTAATGAAGAGAAGGGGGGACATCATAGCAGTGTTCCAATATCTCAGGGGCTGCCACAAAAAAGAGCGAGTCAAGCTATTCTCCAAGGCACCTGAAGGCAGGACGAGAAGCAATGGATGGAAACTAACCAAAGAGAGAAGCAACCTAGAACTAAGGAGAAACTTCCTGACAGTTAGAACAATTAACCAGTGGAACAACCTGCCTCCAAAAGCGGTGAATGCTCCAACACTGGAAGTTTTCAAGAAGAGACTGGACAGCCATTTGTCTGAAATGGTGTAGGGTTCCTGCCTGAGCAGGGGGGTGGACTCGATGACCTCCAAGGTTTCTTCCAGCTTTATCATTATTATTATAAGACAAATATAATGGAGGATTTGAAGCAAATAAAAGATAAAATGGATAATATTGATATAACAATAACAGATCTGGCAAAACAAAGTCAGGATATGGACACGAAATATTACAGAAGTGAATAATCAGATGGGAGAACATGATAAGGTGTTAAAAAGTCAGACAACTGTAATGCATCAGTTGAAAAAGTATTTTATTGAGATATGTGATTGTCAGCGCCGATATGTCAACGTATATGTTGACATCCGGAGAAAAGTGAAGAAAATGAAGCAAAATTGATTCAAGCAGTACTGGATTGGGCTACCTTGATTCTCCCAGATGTCCCCTTTACAAGATATGATACTGATGCAATACATAGAGTAGGCCCAAAAAGGTTGGGAAGAAAATTGCCGAGAGATATTGTGGTACAACTCTGATTATACGCATAAAAAGAGCAATTGATGCGCAAATTGCAAAACATGTCATCTATAATGTTTGGGGGACATCAGATACAAGTTTTTTTCCAAATTTATACAATGAGACTTTACAATGGAGGAAAGAGATGCGTCACGTTTGTCAAATATTGAAGAAAAATAACATTCACTACAACTAGGGATATCTGGGTTTGTTTTTTTTTTTGAGTTTTTCTTACAGTGGAAGGTTTTACAGAGTTGAAACAAAGGAGGAGGTGATGGAGAAATTAAGGAAGCATGGAATCATTAATAAAGAAGATATTCAGGAGAAAGAGAAACTGGATGAAGCAACAGGAGTTAAATGTTCATAGTAGAGATAGTATCTAAGTATTTGTAATTTTACAATATATGTTTGGGTGTAGAAATTAAGGGTAAAGATGGTCAAGGGAGGTGGAGTGGGCGACCAAAGTCCGTGCAGGGATGGCTACTCTTCCCCCCCCCCCAGAGGTCTGAAGCAGTAGAGAGGAGGAAGATCTCCTGAAGAAGGGAAGGGGGACAATATATATGTATATGGGTGGGTAAGAGATTATTTATGTTTTGGGACAATATGCTTACTTTGTAGTTTTAGTTTTGTAAGATTTATGTTAGAGCACATATGGAGACCAAAGGGAATATGTAATATAAGGAATAGTTAGGGAAATTGTTGAAGGTAGCTACATGGAATGTACATGGCTTGGGGAAAAAATATAAATGAGCAAGAATTGAAAAATCAATCCACAAAGAGAAAATAGATATTGTATTTTTACAAGAAATACATCAAAAGAAAGACGAGGTGAATGAACTTAGGTTATATTGGGCTGATGTAAATGAAAAGGCATTTGGTACATGAAAAGCAAGAGGGGTAGCAATCATGGTGGCTAAAAGATGTGAATTTAAGATAAAAGCCATAAAAAGGGATGATATGGGAAGATTTCCTACAATTCAAGGCTTGATTTATGGACAAGAGGTCACTTTAGCAAATTTGTATGCACCTAATACAAATCAAAGAGAGTTTTATAATAGGGTATATACAGAAATAGAAGAAATAAAAAAAGGTTATGTGATAATGGCAGGTGGTTATAATATGGTTATGGATACAGGAATTGATAAATCTAATCCATCAAAAGCGGAAAGAAAGTATAATAATACAGAGTTAAGAAAATTTATTAATAGAAATAGATTAAAAGATGTTTGGAGAAAATTACATGGCAATCAAAAAAGTTATACATATTTTTCTAGTTGACATAAAAATTTTACAAGAATAGATTATATATTTGTAACATCAGAAATGTTATCTAAAATAATGAAAGCAGAGATAAAAATAATTAAAATATCAGATCATGCAATGGTAACTATGGAAATGGAAATAGATTGTGGTTATAAACAGGCAAATAGATGGAGAATGGATTCAAGGATTTTTAAAACTAAAGAGATTTTAGAGAAAATGGAAAGAGAATTAAAAGACATATGGACTATAAATGAAGAAGGAGGTAGTAATATAGGTGTAATATGGGATGCAATGAAAGCAGTGGCATGAGGTTTAGGGATAAAACATTCTTATAATATAAAAAAACAAAAAGAGAAACATATAAAAAGGTTGGAAGAGGAAATTAAAGAACTAGAGAGTAAATATATAGAAAGTAGAGAGAATAGGATTATGTTACAATCAGTGCTTTTTTTGTAAAAAAAAAAAAAAAAAAAGTAAGGAGTTCCAGAGCCATTTGATGAACCTCTAACTTCTAGTAGGCAAGAGGATCCAAGTTTTGCTTCTGCTAAGTGAAGATCATATTAACAGAATAACAGCTGGAAGGGACCTTACAGGTCTTCTCAGTGGTTTTTTTTTGTAAAAAAAAAAAAAAGGGTTGGAACTCACACATGTCATACAACCCTACAAGGTTCCGTCCAAAAGAGGTGCTGGAACTCCGTTCAGGGCGTTCTATGACAAAAAAAGTCCTGGTTAAAATTATCAGCTAAAAGAAAAGAGTTGCAAAATATTGAGTTAGAACAGGTTCAAAGAAATCTAATTTATTTAAATAGGGAATTTTATGAAAATAGTAATAAAAATTCTAGAATGTTGGCTAGAGCCACACAAGTTAAAAAGGCAAAAAGCCTGATTGGAGTAATAAAGAATGAAAAGGAAGAAAGATGTAACATGATGAGAGAAAAGTTGTTGACATTTAAATGTGAATGCAAGTCAGCCATATATAGAAAAGAATTTAAACTGTAAAATTTGAGAATATGATAAAGAAAGAATGGAATCACAAATAGAAGAGGAGGAGATACTGGAAGTTATTAATACATTGAAAATAAGTAAAGCACCAGGGTTAGGTGGGCTAGGCGCAGAATATTATAAAATTTTAAAGGATTATTGGTACCGAAGATGAGGTTAATGTTTAATAAAATAATGGAAGGGGAAATTATTCCAAATTCCTCGAAGCAATCTCTGATAGTATTGATAGTGAAACCTAATAAAGATCTTACAAACCCAGGATCATATAGAACAATATCCCTTATAAATCATGATGCTAAGATTTTTACAGCAATATTGACAAATAGATTGAATACATTTATAGAGAATTATATTAAAAATGATCAGTGTGGATTTATAAGAGGCTGACAAATATCAGATTTATAAGAAGGGTATTAAATTTAGGCTATTACATAAAGAATCAAAAATTAAAGGCTGGTTTATTAGAATTAGATGTTTTTAAGGCCTTTGATTGTGTGGCATGGCCTACATTGAAAATATTAACAGAGAAGTTAGGCTTTGGGAAAAAAAATAGAAAGGTGATAAGTCAACTATACTCAGAGAATAAGGCGAGAATAGTCATAAATGATGGTGTTACAGAGACAATAACCTGAAGCCGGGGAACGAGACAGGGTTGCCCCTTATCCCCAGTTCTATTTGTCTTATTGATGGAGGTTTGGGCAAATGCAATCAGGAAAGATTCATTGATTGAAGGAATTGGTGTACATAAGAAAACTAAAATAAATTTATTTGCAGATGATACATTACTAATGTTTCAAAATCCCATAGCTACTATAGAGAGGATATATTTACATTTGAATGAATTTCGTAAATATAGTGGATTGCAAATAAACTGGGAAAAATCAGAAATGATTTTATATAATCATAGTAATGAAGAACTGGATGTATTGAAAGAAAAATATAAATTAAAAATAGTAGATAGTATTGACATCCTAAAAATATTCAAGAATTAAAGAAGATAAATTATGAGAAGTTAAAGAAAGATATAAAAGATAAAATGGATAACTATAAAAAATAAAATTATCATGGTTCAGAATAATTGCAGCAATAAAAATGAAAGTTTTACCGAAAATTATTTTTTTGTTTGTTTTGGATGATCCCAATTAAGTTTTCGGATAAAGAATTAAAGGAAATACAGAGATTGCTGGAGGTGTATTGTAATGGAGGTAAGAGAGCAAGAATCAGTAAAGCATTATGGTATGAACCATTAAAAAAGGGTGGGCTGGGTCTTCCAAATGTTAGAAATTATTGTGTAGCTAATCAATTAAGGGTGTTCCCAGATATTATAGTAGTAAATAGAGATTTATTATGGAGCGATATAGTATTGAACAAATTAAGGGAAATAGGCGATCCTATAGAAACCTATTGGTTTAAAAAGGATATTAAAAAAAATTGTTAAGAGAATTCAAAATCCCCTTTTAAAAAAAATTGATAGAATTTTGGAATAAGTGGAGATATCAGTTAATGCCAGGAATTTCTCCTTTAACAGTAGAAATGGAGAAATTCCCTAAGATTGAACTGAAATATTGGATTAGTAAATTAAAAAAAAAAACATCAGATATATAAATGGGAAGACTGGAAAAACAAGATAAAGAATATAATACAATTAAAGAATGTTTTATCAGATACTAAATTAAATTGGTGGAATTTAATATAGTTAGAAAAATGGATAAAAAGGAAGAAAAATTAGAGGTGAAAGATAGACTGTTAACAAAATTTGAAATGATTATAAAAGAAAGTGAGGAAAATGAAGTATATATAGGTAAAGGAAGAATTGGGAAAATATACAGAATATTAACTAAACTAGAAGATCAGGCAAAAGGTTTAAAATTAATCTGGGAAACTGATTTAGGAGAAATAAACGATAAAGATTGGAAAAATATTTGGAACAGAAGAGTATATAAGAATATGTCAGTTAGAGTTAAGGAAAATGGATATAAAGTGATATGGAGATGGTACCTAACACCACGTAAATTAAATCAAATAGATGTTAAATATACAAATATTTGCTGGAGGTGCAAGAAAGAGATTGGAACATATAAATATATGTGGTGGGATTGTGATAGTGCACAAAAGATATGGGACATGGTGTTTAGGGAAATTAGAGAAATTTTGAATGTAAATTTAGATATGTCACCGAGAATTGCATTACTGTTACTGGTGGAAAAACAAGATATAAATGAAGCAAAAAAGGAATTGACTGTAAATTTGATAATAGCAGCTTGATTACTCATGGTTAAATATTGAAGGCAGAATTAGGTTATTCAAAGAAATGAGTGATGTAATGAAATATGGAATATGGCAATAAATGATAAATTAACAACAGAAATTAAATTTAAAAAGGGATGATTAAAGTAAATAATTATAATGAAATATGGGATAAATTTATAAAAACAGTATTGGTGGAAGGTAAAGGGAATAAACCTGCTCAAGAATATATGCTGTTTTGAAGGGGATAAGGGCACATTTGAAATATATTGTATATTGTTAGTTGTTATATGAGAAGAAATATAGGTAATAAAAATGGATTCCAGGGGTGTGGATGCACTGTAGTATTTGTATTTTATATAATTTTTTATTTAGATTTATATATGTTATGTTTATATTATTTGTATTTGAATAAAATAAAATTTTAAAAAATATTAAAAAAATAAGAGCAGAATAGCACCATGAGTAATTGTAACTGAATATATGGTGAGGATATTTGATCCAGCAAAACATTCCCCAATTCCAGACATTGAACTAAGGTTCAAATTTCAAATATTCACAATGACACTACTTCCAAAAAATGTATTTACTGATATCTCAAGAGAGACATCTTGGTTGATATTTCCTAATAAATAGAAATAGTTGCATAATATTTCTTATTTCTTATAAGAATACCCAAAGACTGAAATGATTGTATTTGTTTTCAGAGGCTCATATAGACTTTCGGAATTGCATATGTTTATCTTTCTCTAGTTGACCTATGGCTCTGCCCCTGTCATGGATAAAGAGACTCAAGCAGTTTTCTTCCAACAAATGTTTCCGAATGAATCCCACCAACGCAAGGGCCTCCTGCAGTTATTGCTCTATTTTAGTTGGCTCTGGATTGGAATTCTTGTAGTAAAGGATGAGAAAGGAGAGAAATTTCTCCAGGAGGTGCTCTTAACATTTTCCGAGTATGGCATCTGCATTGAATTCATAGAAGAGTTCCCAAATGTAGCTTTTTACAGTGATTTTACTGATACCATTGATGAAGGATTACATATATACCATGTTCTCATGAACAGCACAACCAATGTGATAATCTTATATGGTGAAATTCAGTCCTTATCAGTTCTGAGAACTTTCCTCCAGTTTTCAGAAGTGGAGGATATACCAAAGAAGAATAAGATCTGGCTTATAACAGCTCAGAAAGATTACACTTCAATTGCCGTTCATAAATTTTGGGATATCCATTTCCTACATGGTGCTTTATCCTTTGCAGTTCACACAAAAGAAGTCCAAAACTTCCAGGAATTTCTTCAAAATCTAAATCCAAGCAACAATCAGAATGATCATTTTCGGAAAGTTTTCTGGGAACAGGCATTCAGTTGTTTCTTCTCAAACTCAAAAATGGAGGAGTCTGACAAAAAATGTACCGGACAGGAGAAGCTTGACACTCTTCCCACATCTGTGTTTGAAACATGCATGAGTGGCCAGAGTTACAATATTTACAATGCAGTCTATGCTGTGGCACATACTTTGCAATCTCTCTCTCTGTCCAAATCTAGAGAAACAACAGTGGTGAAAGAAAGAAGGAAACATTTTCACAATCAAGTCTGGTGGAAGGTAAGTTTGTAAGCAGAGTAGTGCAGAAACCACCATATTTGTAGCTGCAACCTGTGTCCATAAACTCTAGCAAACAATATTATCCAGGGATATTGACCTCTAAAAACCCAGACATTAGATGTGAGAATGGATTAACTAATTAAAATATTCATATGCGGATATTAAAATTGCAAATAGCATTCTGGAAAATTTCTTAGAATATGCTTCTCTCCATGGAATTAACTGTCTCTCAAGCCCAAACCAAGAATGGCATATGGTAATTCTTCTAAGCTGATTTCTTCTTGTTTTACATCTATAGATAAAATCTTGCCAATCTGAGCACTCTACTATCTGTATCTACAATTTACTCTGTGAATTATTTTTTTTATTGAAAAGTTTTATACAAAATTTTAGTACAATACAATATTCCCCCTCTACCTCCCCCCAACCCTAACCCTCCCCCCTCACTTCCCAGAGCTGATTACAGGGTTAAAAAAAATAAGCAAACAAATTCTAGCTAAACTTATCCAACTATAGAAATAATAAAATCCCTAGAATACTTTAACTCAAATACAAAAGAAAAATTTAAAGCAAAAACATAAATAACAATATAAATAATTCCCACTTTAAGCTTTAAATTATTCAAAAACTAAATAATACTTTCTAAACCCATATTTATTTTGTACAAAATTTATCCATCTTCTCCACACAGGGATGTATCTTTCTTGTGAATGATCCTTCAAGTAAGCAGAAATTTTAGCCATTTCTGCTAAATTAGAAACTGTAAGCAACCATTCTTCTATAATAGGCAAAGAATCTTTCTTCCAATATTGTCCAACCAATAACCTTGCCGCCGTAATAAGATTCAACATTAAAATAGTTTCTTTAACATCACAATCTACAATAATACCTAACAAGAATAATTGTGGTGAAAACTTTATCTTTCTATTAAAAATCTTCTGAATGTTCCACCAAATCTTAATCCAAAAGGCTTTTATGTATCTGCACGTCCACCAAATATGATAATAAGTTGCATCCAAGCACATCCACATCTCCAACACTTAGGCTGTAGATTAGGATACATGCGAGACAACTTTTGTGGATCCAAATGCCACCTATAAAATATTTTATAATAATTTTCTCGTAAATTTTGAGCCTGAGTAAACTTCACATTCCCAACCCAAATTGCCTCCCATGTATCTAATGAAATCGGCTCTTGAAAATTTTGATTTTCAGACAATCTTTAACTAATTCCGTCTCTGAATGCAATTCCACTAAAACATTATAAACTCTCTTTATATGAGCTCGATTTTGATCTCTAATTTGTTTTATCAAATTCTCATCTTCTGAAGTGAAACCAACCTTTTGGTCTAAACTCCATCTATCTAACAATTGCCTATACTGAAACCAAGAGTAAACAATATTTTCTTGCCTTAATTCATCTAGCAATTTTAATTGCCAATTCTTCCCTTCCAATTTAAGCAATTGATTATAAGAAATCCTATCCAACTTCACACCTCTCAATATCCCCTCTACTGTGTGTCCAGGAATCCCCCAAATTGGTGTTTTATAATTTAATCTATAATAATATTTCTTCCAGACATGCAATAGAGCAGTTCTTAAAATATTACTCTGTGAATTATTAAGAAGCGGCTACCTTCCTCCTCTTTCTCTCAGACATAATATCCAACGTGAATTGGATAATTTATTTTTCTGAAATGCAATCCCTTCCTCCTGGGACTTATTATACATTCCATCACTGTTCCATAAATTGTCTATTTAAAAAAATGGAAGGAGGTATTTTACTCCCTCGACATGATATGCTGAAGCTGGGTTTGTTTGTTTGTTGTTATATATGCTTTATTTGAAATGTTTGCATATAGTCAAAGTTCATTGATTATTGAAAGTACAATCATGCCCTTATCTTCCCATCCAATTCACGTGTGGAAGAGGAAGGACTGATATATTGTGACTCTTACTCAAACAAGATTCAGCATGCTGAAATGTTCCCTTTCTATGAGGCATAGGGTTCTGACCTCTTCATAGACCATTTAAGAGCCACTTCCATTTCTACACCCAGTTGTTCACAACAAAACATGCATAGTTTTAGAGCAAATGGATGCAGAAGAATGAAGGCAGCCTTATATTTTTTTCAGAACACAATTCTAAAAGAAACCAGAAAAAGAGTGAAGGTGTTTTTAATATTTCAGGCGGTTAATAAAAGAGGGCCAAGGTGGGATGTTATTTTGAGCTTACTTTTTCTGAGACATATGTTCTCCCATGGGATGAAACAATCATAGATTTCAAATGATGGACAGTTAAGCCATCATATTCAGCATTAATGTAGGATTTTAAATTCCAGCAACTCCTGCAGATGTTAACTCTGCTTCTACTCTAATGTATCCAATAAAAGAAATGTCATCTTCCATTATATTGTAAATTTTACAGACAACCCTTGCTTAATGATGGCAATTGGGAACTGAATTTCCATTGTTAAGTGATGCAGTTATAAAGTGCATTTGACTATGTGGTTTAGCAACAACAGTTCTGGCAGACCCCAGTTACCATTGTTAAGTGAGGACTGCATTGTTTTTTAAGCATGGACTTCATGGGATCACAACCTCCAATTTCCTTCTTGCTTCCCCATTGATTTGCTTGTGGAAGGCCAGCAAGATACTGTTGATTGCAAATCACAATCAAGTAACTGTGGGATACCAGACAGTCAGAAATCCCGGCCAGTTGCTGAGTTCCAGGATTGTGATCATATGAGCACATTCATAAAGAAACATTCATATATATGCTTTGAGTATACAAATTATTTCTCTCTCCCTCTGTCCTGTTCTCTCTTTTTCCGTCTCTGAATGTCTCTTTGTTTCAGGTTCATTTTTTTCTGAGACGTGTCAGATTCAATAATAGTGTTGGTGAAAAGATCTCCTTTGATAAAAATGGAGAATTCATTGGTGGATATGATATTATCAACTGGATCACATTCCCAAACCAGTCCTTTCTTAGAGTCAAAGTTGGAATGATAGATCCTACAACTTCAGCAGACAAGTTCTTCAATATTTCTGTCGATTCCATTATGTGGCCAGTAGGCTTTAATCAGGTTAGCTTTTAGAATCTAGATTATACTGCCTTCATTTAGTGATAAAAGTCTCAGAGCACCATTTCTGACTACTCTAGGTACAAACATCCCAGGGAAGGAAAACATTATCTGTAAGAATGTTTACTTTTCTACTAGTTTGTACTTTTTACTTTGGCCCTTTGTTAATTCTGGATAATAGTTTTCATAGTTTTCAAGTAAAAGTTGCAAACCAGCATACTAGATTTCATCAGTTTAGTGACTTGATTGGTGAGAAATCATCTTTAACTAGCCAGCACCAAAAATACCTTTGGAGAGAGGTGATGATGGTTATACAAGGCCATAGATGTCAATAATTGTAGATATTTAATTAATTATTATTTCAGACAAAATGCATCTCAAAATTATGTCATCATACTACTTCTGCTTTTCATTCTGTTGATTCTACATGACCAGTATCTCTCCAAGCACTTCTTTTCCCCTCTGTATCATAAAATATTCCTCTTCATTCATTGATAGGCATTACCTTTATCTTTGTGTAATGATCCTTGTGAGACAGGCTACAGCAAGGCCAAGAAAGAAGGGGAGTCCTTTTGCTGCTATGATTGCCACCTATGTCCAGAAGGGAAAATATCAAAGGAGAAGGGTAGGAAATTTTCAAATATAATGGGACTAAGCCAAGATGGCACAACACTATAATTCTCTATATCAATTCACCTGCATTCTTTTTCAGATATACATGACTGCTCTCCATGTCCAGAAGATCAATATCCAAATCCTGACAAAAATATGTGCCTTCCAAAGCGGATCACCTTTTTGTCCTATGAAGAACCCTTGGGAATCAGTCTGACTGTTCTTTCTCTTTGCTTTTCATCGATAACAACTTTGGTAATCACAATTTTTGCAAAAAACAAAGACACTCCTATTGTCAAAGCCAACAACCGGAATCTCACCTACAGTCTCTTAGTTTCCCTCCTTCTCTCTTTCCTTTGTGTCTTTCTATTTATTGGGAGACCTGATAAGATTGTGTGTCTCCTTCGACAACCAGCTTTTGGCCTCATCTTTTCTGTGGCAGTTTCTTGTATATTGGCCAAAACCTTTGTTGTGGTTCTAGCATTCATGGCCACCAAACCTGGTTCCAAATTGAGGAAATGGGTGGGGGGAAGAATGGTCAGTTTCATTCTTCTATCCTGCTCCCTTGTACAAGTATGTTTTTGTGCTGTGTGGCTGATAATGTTCCCACCATATCCAGATTTTGATGCACATTCCATGTATGAAGAAGTCATCATGGAATGCAATGAAAACTCAGTCATGTTCTGCTGTGTTTTGGGCTTTATGGGTTTTCTTGCTCTGCTTAGCTTCTCTGCTGCTTTTCTAGCTAGGAAGTTACCTGACAGTTTCAATGAAGCCAAATTCATCACCTTCAGCATGTTGGTCTTCTGCAGTGTTTGGCTGTGCTTTATTCCAACCTATCTAAGCACAAAGGGAAAATATACATTAGCTGTGGAGATGTTCTCCATGATCTCCTCTAGTGCTGGCTTATTGGTGTGTATCTTTTTCCCCAAGTGTTTTATCATATTGATCAGACCCGAACTGAACAATAAACAACAGCTGATGAAAAGAAAGTTTTAGGAAAGATAGTCTTTGTATGTCCAGGTTAGAGATCTTCCTCACTTGCCCTTTGAAGCCAGTGAGCAATGTACAGTTAGATTGGCCTGCTGTGTTGCAAAGCCGACCTTGTCCCTGAGATTTGGGTAATTCAAAACTTTTTTTTTTTACTTCTGAAAGACAATTAAAGATGAGAAGCATAAAACCTTTATAAAGAACAGATAGAATTTGATCAAATACTTTTGAAAACAGATGAAAATTTGATTAAGAAACTTTATAGATTTCTGCTAAAATGGAAGATGGAAGAAGAACAAGTGAAAGAGACAATGATAGTATGGGCAAAAAAACTTTGGATATTCTATAGATTTAGAAGCTTGGCAAAAACTATGGGACAGGAACATCAAATTGACTAAAGCAGCTTCATATAAAGAAAATTTGTATAAAATGTTTTACAGATGGCACATGACACCAGTTAAGTTAGCGAAAATGTTTAAAAATGCTTCGAATTACTGTTGGAAGTATAAACAAAAACCAGGCACTTATTATCACATCTGGTGGGTGTGTCCCAGTGCAAAGAAATTCTGACGTAAGATTCATATATGGCTGGAAAAGATAACTAAAATACATATATAATTTAGGCCAGAATTGTTTCTGCTAGGAATACTAGGATTTAATTATGGGAAAGAGAAAGAGTATTTAATATTACATATATTGACAGCTGCGAGAATAGCATTTGCCCAATACTGGAAAAATGAAGATCTACCACCCGATGAGATTATAATTAGAAAAATTTTAGAATGTGCAGAAATGGATAGATTAACGTTAGAGATTAAGGAAAAAGAAGACTCAGTCTATTATAAAACATGGGAAAACTTTTATCAATGGTTAGCAAAATGAGATAATGAAACTGAAATTTATTAAGATGATTGATTTCTTCTTTTGATTAATTGATATGCTTTATAATTTCTGTTATTTTTGTTGTCTACAGTTACTGATCAAAATATTAGCCCTGTGGAGTACTTGTATCCAGATGATAGTTTGCTTGCTAAAGCGTGAAATGTTATTGGAGCAACCCCATTGTTCTACCCATTCTCACCCTAAATCCTCCCTTAAACCCTACTCTGAACCCCACCACTCATAATGACCCTGGCTTTTCCCTACCCTGAATATTTAAATAAAATTTTTATTAAAAAAACAAACAAAAAACATGTAATAAAGAAACAAATAAATGATAATATTATTTTTTGTGATATTTCAGTATGTGATAGACATCTCTGACTCAATATATAGATTAAATTTGAATTATAATTTTTTCTTTACTGGTCATCCAAATTTATATGCACTCTTGGACATGTAAAAGAAGTGGGGATTAAGTACAAATGAGACTTTCATTTAAACAAGGAATGCCAATTATTTGTTTCTAAAGCAGTCAAATAGCCAACTGACTGCTTTAGAAACAAATTATGGAACATAATTATTAAGGAAAGGATGCAAAAAGAGGGACAAAATGAAATGTGAATGACAAAAATTAAAATATTTTAAAAATTATTTTAAATAATGAAATTAAATTATTGAATTGTCCTTCAGCGAGTTGGCCGTGGTGAGCTGGCTGCAGTGAGTTGACCATGGTGAGTTGGAAGCAGTGATATGGTAAGTTGGTTGTGGTAACCTGGCCATAAGTTTTCTCCTCAGTATCAAAACCAATGAAATCTCTGGCACAAAAATAATTCTAGTAAATTCAAATAAATTCCATCAGAAATCCAGTACATACTTTTATCCAATTTACATAATGATCTCTTTCTAGGAAATTCAAATGAGTATGGTAACTGTGTAAACAGTACATTCTATTGTTATGTGTCTGTTTTAGTAGATAGAGTGTTGCAGCACTTGTATGAGAGGCATATGGTAATTCTAAATGCCGACTGATGAGTTACTTGAATGAGCCTGGGTTGGAATTTGCAGAGAACTTGGAATCTGGTTATCTGAGGAACCATCTCACTCGAATGGGATTAGCTCATCCAAGCCATGGTGCCATAAGAGGCATGCTGTGTATGATGGGTGGTTTAGGAGAAGAGCATTTTCTACCATGGTGCCCACCCTTTGAAGCTTGTGTCCCCAAGATTAGATCAACACCCACCATTGTGGTCTTCTGAAATAGGTTGGATATCAGGTTGCCCCTATAGTTACCATGTTTGCCCAAAAGAAAGACCTATCTCAAAAATAAGCCCTAGCTTGATTTGGGAGGGGGGAGTAATATAAACTCTACTTCAAAAATAAGCTCTAGTTTTGGGGTGAGGCACACACCTAAAAATCAATCCCCACACTCACTTACCTTGCATCCAGGCCTTTCCTCACTGGCCCATATCTTCTGTGGCATTCCCAGGCCTTCATTTTTCAGTCAGAGGCCTTTCCAGAAGACCAGTGCAGCCAAGAACCGAACTATGGATTAAATCTTCTGGAAATGCCTCTGACTGCAAAATGCAGGCCAGAGCTCCATTCTCAGCTGCAGAACGAAGCTGCTCCTTTGGCTGCCGAAGACGTGGGCTGGCTGACTGGGGCTGCCAGTGCTGGAGGTGAGTGGAAAAATAAGACCTAGTGCCTCTTTTGGAGGCAAAAAATAAAATAAAATAAGACCAGGTCTTATTTTTAGGGAAACATGGTAATAGATCTTTCATTCAGTTAAATTTGAATGTTAATTGAATTTTAAATTTATGGTCTGCATTTAATGTTTTAATGTTTTGTATGATATTTGATTGAATGACTGTAAGCTACCTAGATTTCTATGTTGTGAGATGACCAGCATAGAAGTTAAATAATTAATTCTTTGTTGGGGCTACAGTAGCAGAGATAACATATAGTCCACTGATGGTGAACCTTTTAGAGACCGAGTGTCCCAAAACTGGCCCTGTCCCCCATCCCCTGCCCCACCTGCCCGCAGGGCCACTCACTACCTCTAGGGTCCTCTGCAGATCACCCAGATAGCCCAGCAACACTATGAATGTTCTATGAAGAGACTACAATATAGGCTTTATGGTTATTAGTGGAGAACTGATTCCCTAGTCAAGTTTCTAAAAGAATTAAACAAAACTGTATTCTGACTCTTATATTCTTTAATTTTTAAACTAACTCTACGGTATGAGTCCTTACCTAAACTGTTTTTTTCTCTGTTCTATTGCTAGAAAACCAATCTTCACTCTGCTATATGCTTATTACATTGTCATTAGTTGGTTTCTTCAATTTATATTTTTAAAATTTTATTTTTTCTTTTTCACTTTACAACAAACAAAATAAATTTTGTTTCTTAACAATACTGGGTCATATGTCTCTTACATTTATTTACAGTTATTAATATTAATTTTCATACATTTTTAAATGTAAAATTCTGTTGCTTCCTTGTCTTTTATTTCTAGAGTAAGCTTGTACATCTCAGCGCATTCCAATATCTTGTGAATGATCATCTCATTTGTTGATATATTTTCACATTTCCAACACTGAGCATACGCAATGCGAGCTGCTGTTATTATGTGTATGGTATGAGTCCTGTTTTTTTCTCTGTTCTATTGCTAGTAAACCAATCTTCACTCTGCTATATGCTTATTACATTGTCATTATTTAGTTTCCCAATGCAGTCTTCATAAATTAGCATCCTACAGCATCATAAGTCAACCTTGAATAGTAGAATTCAACCACAGGACAACCAAGTATTGCAATAAACATACAAATTTTTGGAAGAATATATGAAAATAATGGTAATGTAATGGATAGTAGAGAATAGAGAGTAATGTTATTTAGGGCAATGGAAGAATGGAATGGAATAGAATTGAATGGAACATGGAATGGAATGAAACAAGAATAGAGTAGAGTAGAGTAGAGTAGAGTAGAGTAGAGTAGAGTAGAGTAGAGTAGAGTAGAGTAGAATAGGATAGGATAGGATAGGATAGGATAGGATAGGATAGAATAGATCTATAATAATGCCTTTACACATACATATATTTACATCTCTATTTTGATTTATGGATCTAATGATTTTAGTTTTGTCTTATTGCTCATGCATCCTGCCTCTGGAGGCCCTCACATGTTCTGAAGATCTTCACATATGTGACTGTCTTATTATCACGAAGAAATTAACCAGTTTGTCTCTTCCAAATCCTATGGGACTCCATTAAAACAGCAGGAAGGGACACTGAATTATGGTATTTATTGCCCCCATGATATTCCAGCTTATGGCTGGGAGCCCCAAAGCTTTGGGAGTTGATTTGATAGTATGTTGCACTCACGATTTGTGTCTGAAGGATATCTCAAAAAGAACGGTCAGTCTGATTCACTTCAAATAACTTGTAGCAGAAAGAGGCATTTGCACCCAGAAAGAAGACACTCACAGAAGATGTTAGTATTCATGGAGTTACTGTTAATTGTATTGCCCGAAGTGGTGTGCAAGGATCCTGGCCTTCAATGTGACTTTCATCAGCCTCTTCCTATTCGGCACACCTATCATCAGCTTGGAGACATCAATATTGCTGGTATTATTTCTGCCTTCTTTGCATCTTCTAATCCCATTAATTTTATTCAAGATCCTTCTCAGGGATTTCATCATGGACTTATGTAAGTACCCATTCATTTATTGTCAAGCTCTGAACCTTGCTGGTATATTACCTGATTCTTGAAATGTTTCCTCTAATGGCAAAAATTCCCAAAAGAAACATCTAAAATAGGATGCCTAGGTTTATTTTATATGAAGTTATATTTTACTTTTGTCTCCAGACAATGTTGAAATGAAGATCAGATCTCCATTTATAAGAAATCACATCTAAATATCTATTAATATACAGGAGTGTGGCTTAATTTATGAAGCTGTTACTATCATTAAGAAAGGGGAAGCACATATTTTCCATGATCTGTTTTCTCATTTGATATTTCTGTGCCAAAATGTCGCAATTTCCTTCTTCATATAAGCCATTCTTAAAATCTGTTGTTTGAAAGTGGGCTATTCTCACATATAAGAACACAGAAATAAGAATTATTTC